TACCTTACGAGGACCACCATTTTCAGGACTAATTTGTCAATAACTCATTAAAACAAGAATTTTATGAGTCAAAAATTTGCAAGAAATTTAGTTAACGTAACACACATATTGCCTGAAAATTTCAGCCAACTCGGTCCACGAATAACGAAAAGCGATTCCTGAGAGAGGGATCCCCCTTAAGGTCATACTGAGCGGTAATTTACAGCTTACCGATGATGCCATTCATATCAATATATAAAAGAGATAAAAATGAAAGTTATAATGAAATCACATGTAACAAACTTGCGCCATAAATCATTCATTTATTTTCCTGAATATGAAAGATTTCCATTAGATTTGTCAAAAATCCTTCAATCATGAGCGCAATAAATCATCAAAGCAAACAGAGTAAACAAAATATAAATATTAAAAATAATAAAATTCAGCACGATTAACGTATTACTGAACTAACACTTTTTCTTAATTTATTTTACTAAACAAAATTATTAGGAAAAATCCATCCAACATGCTTCAACTGTTACCATCAAGAATAATAAATACTATTCTACAAAACAAGACGCATGCACCTGCTCAAACAGCCGGATTCTATCGCAGAATATACCGTAGACAATCAACATAGTACAGCTATATTTTTCATCATATCCTCAAAAAATTATAAATAAGAATTCTATATTTGTGATCTTTAGATCATCTGAATAGATAATTTGTCAAAATAATTTAATCAAATCCTTAGCAATATTAGAACATGTCATAGTCGCTCGAGACAAACCCACACCAAAAATTGTATGGCATATCCTTGATAACATTCTCTAGCGGTATAAAGAACATAAAACTAAGTAGAACAGGATGAATGCTTCGTTAATTCAAACTTGGAAGATTTATTGAACTATATCGGTCATTTGGAAGATCTATGTGAATCGAATCTAATAATTACTATTGAACAACAGCTACTTTCAATTTAATAGAAACTTCCATTGTCAAACATATGATTTTCCAATGAGAAAAACACTCTAACATATTGTTCGTGATATCTTCCTCACTTACAATTTCAGTTCTTATAAGTGATTAGATAGAATGTAGGACATATTGATTTTGCTTCGTTTTTTTTTTTCTATATTGAATACAAATATATTTATTGTTTGCATGTCTAGAATGTGTTGATATAAAGATGATGCATTTGAAGCAGTCTTCAAGAATTTCATACGAAGATAACACAGTTACAAGACAAAGAACAAATAATAGTTATCAGTGATTGATAGGTGCTACTCGACGAAATGATCGCTTGATCGAAGACAACAGACCAATAAGTAATGGAACCACGATGACCTTCATTATTATCATTAGACCACCATAGAATCCGAGAACATCCGTCACGATGTCTATTGTTGAAGAAGATTTCATGTAAGTATACGAACATGATGATGGAGCGCATTGAGCATAATATTGTTCGTATGACACATGACTTGACCAGTTTTCGATCAATAGTTGATCGAGCATGGTTTTGAAATTCGTATTCAAATCAAAACGACTTGAAAGTGATGAATTCAGCAGTACTTGTGTATTCTCCATATCTTGTACTGTAGAAATTAGATTTTTGTTCAAACATTCTGCAAGATAAAAACACTCCAGTGTTGATTTCAGTAAAGCTTCGAGAGGGTAACAACCAATCATCATGCCTGGCACAAGAATGCCAGAGGGAGTAATAGCAGGTTGTACACAATCTGTGGACAAAGCACAATCACACTCTCCATATCGAACGGATATCGTGGGTAGTAGAGTACCCTCAGAAGATATGGTCTCTGTATTTATATTCATATTGATGAATTTCCAATTGCTTCGGAATATGGACATGGCCGTATTTGCACTTGTCATTTCACGTATCATTTCAAGTGTCAACAAAAATGAGTTAGGCAAATTAAATTGGAATTGTTGAATAATCGATTGAATTTGTTGATGAAAATCTACTATCGATGGATTTATGTACGTTTGAATAAGAGTGCGTGCATAGAAATCGGAAACGGCATTATTTACTGTTTCTTGTGCGACTTGACAAAAATATGAAAGCAACTGTAAGTAAGCTGGAATCATATCTTGAAATACACTGGAACTGCCTATAAAGGAAAACATCAACGGATAATGCTTCGTTATCCATTCGACGCTAATAAGAATATTTGAGCATATTTGATGATACTTTATTACTGAGAGATTCACGAATGATCGGTATGGAATGGATACTTGTGAACATGGACATTGAAGAGTCACGCCCGGATATCGACTAACGAGATTTTTGTACGTTTGTAGTGATGGATATTTGGCAACTTCGTCTAGTTGTCTCTGTCGTGTGAGTGAATATGATACGTAGAGTGCAACGAGACTAATCAAAATTAGAATGATCTTCAGTCTATTCGGCAAATGTTGTTCGTCTTGGAGACTTAACAGCCATATTTTTATGATTCGGAATGAAAAGCGTCCGTGTAACTTTTTTATCATGCGAAGAATAATAAAAAATAAGATTTTGAGACTTGTTGTTAATCCACCAAAGACACCAATAATTGTTGTAATGACGAGTAGAAGTTGACGCTGACGTACGACTTCATGTATACATGAATCGGGTGAACATTTCTTGTAGTAATTGCTAAATGAAACATTAATTATCCATTCGTCAACAAATAAACGATTAGCGATTGATTCAATAGTTTCGTTAATGACATCGTCATGTGTTAGATCAAGATTTGTGACATATATATGTTGCGAGTTGATTGGCATGAATAACATTATTTCATCGATCATTGTTTGATTGTAAAATATCTCAAGTGTAGACATGAAAAGAGAATCGATTGGAGAACATCCTTTCTTAAGACTAGGTAATGTAAGGAAAGTTTGCGTGGCATCATTGCTCGTCTGCATTTCTATTTGACAAAGTGCAGTAGCAGCACATGAACAATCTTGAGCACCTGGATTTAAGTTAACAATGGAAATTGTAGAGACATAAATAATGTTAGGACTGAAAACTCCCCACAAAAAATTATAATAGCTGGACATTAGTTGATTACCCTGCAGATTGAGACGAAAAATTTGAAGTGTTTGTAGAAAATTGTATATTGTTATGTTCTTCCAATCTTTAATAATCGCATTTACTTGTGTCTCAAAAAGATTTTTCGGTAACACTTCGGAAGTGACAATATGTTGACGTTGAAATGATTCAAGAGCAGCATAGATAGTTTGGTTTGCTGATTTACAGAAAATCGCTAGTAGTTGAAAGATTTCTGGAGCTGCTGTTCTAAAATCTGCCCAATATACAGTACTGGGTTGATAATTCTCATGTAAATAAGCGAGCCACGATGAGGAGACAAAATCACTCGAACATACTTGATGGTAGATCGGTGTCATGGTCAAAAATACATCATAGTCGATGGAGATAATTGTACAATTACACCGAAGAGATGATGAATAGATTGAATAGAGATCCTTAAACTGCGCCTCAGTTGGGTGTTTCATCGTTTCTCTGTATAACTCTGGACTAAGTGATCCATAGAACATAAAAATGACTAGAATGACTACGAGAAGAACTATATAAAATCGACTGGCTGTTCGTTGATGTTGAATGCAACGTTCGTCGTCGTCATCGACATTTTCTGCTTTGAAAAGATTCAGTTCGACAATAAAACGTTTCAAAAAGATTTGTCCTTGATCTATACGATTTCGAACTGAAACAGAAAGAGAGAATTCGACTGAGTTTGTGTGTAAGAAGTCAATGTCAACAAAATTTCTTAGACTATACATCAATACATGAGATTAACACCGAATATTTATTTCATGTAGGTAAGAATAACAATAGGCGATTACATACTGAGGGATACCATAATATCTATAGCTCAAGTATCGAGATTTAAAACCAAACTAACAGGATATTTACTTAATGTATTCGTGGTAATCATATGCCGTTAAATTAAAGATTTTCAATGAATATATTGGAATGAGTTGGATAACAATTTTGGTGGATATCATGACTTGTGGCTAGTCGTTATCCAGCATATGAATATTATGACATCTCTGTACATACTATTTCAAACATCATCTCAAGTATACTTCTGACACTAACATAATTGAAAATAAAACCTCGTCGGCAAGGCTTTTCTTATCATTACAACTCCGTTCGAATATTTGACGCATATTGTATATAAAAATATGCCCATTATTTTTGCGGTGTAGTTAAGAGATGTGTATATGATCGAAAAACTTATTCTGTCAATAAGATAATGCTTCCGTCTCTTTTTATAGTTTATGAGATGACTCACGATGACATAAGCGGTGTACTCTTGTATGGTTAAAAGTTATACGACGAGTTTCTTTTACACAGGATATTGTAGATGTTTTTCTTTCATCAAATATTGTGACATGTCAACAGAATGAAGACCTACTATAATATTGAACTGGACAAATAACTTACGTGCAAGTTTTGGTTTCGGTTGAACAGTGAGATTTTCTCGTTTTTTTCGTAGTTGTTTTCGTATAAAATGAATTACTATGGGTACAGCGATACCCAACATCATACACAAGCCGGCAAGTAGACGGATAAATGTGCCCATGACATAGAAGAAGCTATGATGTGTTATTGCCAAGTAAGTACATGAAGATGGTGCACACTGATCAAAATAAGCTTCATACGCAACATTAAAATTCCAGTCTTCAACCATTAGTTGACCAACAATTGATTCAATGGTAGCATTCTTACTGAACCGTTTATATTTGTTTGAGTTTGGTTCGATGAGCGCAGTGAAATTCGAGTTTGTCAATAGAAAGGGTGTGATGGTATCTACGCATGTTTGATTAAAAAAACATTCGAGAGTCGAATGAAGACAAGAATCGAGTGGCATACATCCCAAACGAAATCCAGGTATGACTATCATCGGATTCGTTATAGATATATTGGCGCTGTAGATACCTGAGGTATATCCTTGACAAGAGAATGAAGCAAAACAAGTACACAATGTACCATCTTCCTGTTTGAGACGAGTTGGACTTGTTTTTCTACTAAAATATATATATGCAAGATCTGAATACCAATATACTATTGGCAATATGCCTGTTTGAAGACCATTAAACAAAAGCGAACCTAAGAAGAAACTATTGATCAGTTGTACTTGCGTCTGAAATGACTTTGGTGCATTGATTTGAAATTGTTCAACATAGGCAAAGGTTTGTGCTTTGAGGTTGTTCGAAGAAACAGCGTAAGGACTGATGAAAGCATCAGATTTGAGTCGTGCGAGACTTTGATTAACAATGGATTCGGATAAACGACAAAAACTAGCTAGTACTCGAAAAGTAGTAAATGCAGTTGCTCGAAAGTCTTCATCCCGAAATGATCTTTGTTTATCATCAAAGTAAAGATTGGATATCCATCGATCCGAAATAAAATCGCTCGAACATACTTGATGAAAAGATGGACGACTGATAAGAAATTGATTGTAGGAAAGAGAAACTTGCGAGCAAGGACATATTGCATCTGAAGGTAATGATTCAAATTCTATTTGAGATGGATGTTGTACAATGAACTCAACCGATTGAGGAAGTAGTGCTGTAGCCAACATGAAAATGAATAGAATAAGAAAGAGAAGAATCAGATAAACACGAGTGGTAATCAGATTAGTGCGATGTTGATAGTTTTCTTCCTCGATATCAGGAAGTGACTGTTCAGAAAACAAATTAAGTTCAACAATATAGATTTTTAGCCGATCGAGGGGTCGTATGTATTGCTCATTCATCGATAAGTTTTAAGTTGTGTACGTTTGTATTGACAGAAAGAATACTGTTTTATTTTTGTAATATGTTATTTCATCTCTAAAAAATATTGAGTTAAAAAACTATTGGCTTTTATAATAAGTATTCCTTGCTGAACGCTCTACTAAACAGTGTATTGCACTTATGTAAATGAGTTTGTTTCCATTGTTTTAGATGTGCTGTAATTATATAGTTACATGAAATATAAAATGTAATTATACAATTACAACGCATCTAAAACAATGGAAACAAATTCATTTACTAAATGCAATACTCTGTTTTTGTTAAAAAAAAAATGAGCTCCGTGAAGTGAGAGAAAGAAAAGAAACACTGAAAATGAAGAGAACGCAATTTTTTCTAGTCCAGTTGTTGTTTATGCTTGTGAGAGTAACAGCGAAAGAAGTTAGTTGGTATAGAATCTTATTTTATTTGTATACATCAATGCTTTCGATCATAAAGATCTTCAATTCTACGATATCTCGATGTTTCGCGCATAGAATCATATTCAAGCATGAGTTTTTCTCATGAATCACAAATTATCATTCCTAATATGTGATGAAAACGAAAGAGTTCAGACAATAGAGGCATAGCAGAATAGCAAATTCTGTTATCACTGCATAGCAGTGCTGGAAAAGAAGTCATCTTTCATAGGATGTGAGTGTAGGAAAGAAAAACTTTTTTTAATTTTCCGGAAACTTGTATAGAGCATCAAATGTTGTACAGCTCTCTTTTTCACGTGTTCATAGGTAATAGAGAGCAAATATAGTTAGGAGTTGTAGAGTATTGGATAAGGAATGAAAATAGAAAAAAATGCAGACCCAAACCTAAACTATTTTGATTTACTACATGCCTTTGACAAAGTGATATTATTGGGAAAAAAAACAAGATTTTGTTAACATTCTATGTAATTCGAAGGGTGTTG